TGGCCCTTTAAAATCTTCTTAAAAAGCTCACCGTCGTACAGCTAGATACTAAACAAATAGCACTGCTGATGTATGTTATGAACCTGGAGGAGGGAGAGATGAATGAAAGCTAGCATGATCTCAGAAGACCTCATGGAGTTTGACCTGGAAGGATGAATGGGATTCAGATAGGAGGAAAGAGAGCATTTTACACAAGGGAGCCAGGAAGGCTGTGGGAATGTTCAGGGAAGAGCAAGTAGTCTAATGAGAGTGAACATTATCCTATAGAATCAGTGGGACTTGGCTCTCAGCATCTTTGTAAATGAAATTTCAGATAGAAAACTCAAAACTGGCATTGGTATTGCAAAGATATTGTTAAAAATCGGCACATCTAATTTTATCAAAGATACATACAGATTTACATTTTTTCATGACTTCTTAAGTCCTTTATTGTTTTGTGAGTGGTTCAGCAGAATGCTCTGACTCTTCAGAATCCAGTGCATCTCCATCATTGCTCCTCCTTATGTCAATTTTGAAAAGAATGTAGGAACCAGGCCATGAGTAATAGCAACATTTATTCTGACCCTTAAAAAAAATTGCCATTTTCTGAGTAAATGCTCATTTGGTTTTAGACATGTTCTTGATCTTTTTTAAAAAAATTATTTTGTTTATTTTGGTTTTTTTCAACAGGGAGGTAATTAGGTTTATTTGTTTATTTACTTAAATAGAGTGACTAGGGGTTGAACCCAGGACCTCATGCGTGCTAAGCACACGCTCTACCACTGAGCTGTAGCCTCCCTCCAATTCTTGACCTTTTAAATGCATGTCATACCAAAATTAACAGAATTGATATAAAATTACTGTGTATGTTAACATGAATCAGTTAATTCACCCTACGCAATGTAAATACATTCCTCTTAGAATGAAATATTTATCTGATAGTTGTTGTCTCCCTTATTTTCAGGTGGGCTCAAAAACAGAAGTTGCTGAGTGTAAGGAGAAATTTGCCACCTCCAAAGACCCCACAGTCAGTCAGACTTTCATGTTGGATAGGGTGTTCAACCCTGAGGGGAAGGCGTTGCCACCAATGAGAGGATTCAAATACACCAGCTGGTCCCCCATGGGTTGTGATGCCAACGGCAGGTGCCTCTTGGCAGCACTGACCATGGACAATCGCCTGACCATCCAGGCTAACCTCAACAGACTGCAGTGGGTCCAGCTGGTCGATCTGACTGAGATTTATGGAGAACGTCTTTATGAGACCAGTTACAGACTCTCTAAAAGTGAGGCCCCAGAAGGGAATCTCGGGGACTTTGCTGAGTTTCAGAGGAGGCACAGCATGCAGACACCAGTCAGAATGGAGTGGTCGGGCATCTGTACCACTCAGCAGGTCAAGCACAACAATGAGTGCCGCGACGTGGGCAGCGTGCTCCTGGCCGTCCTCTTTGAGAACGGGAACATCGCCGTGTGGCAGTTTCAGCTCCCGTTTGTAGGAAAGGAATCTATCTCTTCCTGCAACACGATCGAGTCTGGAATCAGCTCTCCTAGTGTCCTGTTTTGGTGGGAGTACGAGCACAGCAACCGGAAGATGAGCGGCCTCATTGTGGGGAGTGCTTTTGGGCCCGTGAAAATTCTCCCTGTCAACCTCAAAGCCGTTAAAGGCTACTTCACTCTGAGGCAGCCTGTCGTCTTGTGGAAAGAAATGGACCAGTTGCCAGTACACAGCATCAAGTGTGTCCCATTGTATCACCCTTACCAGAAGTGTAGTTGCAGCTTAGTGGTGGCTGCCAGAGGATCCTATGTGTTCTGGTGTCTTCTTCTGATCTCCAAAGCAGGTCTGAATGTTCACAATTCTCACGTCACAGGCCTTCACTCGCTGCCCATCGTCTCCATGACGGCGGACAAGCAGAATGGAACGGTGTATACTTGTTCCAGTGACGGCAAGGTGAGGCAGCTGATTCCCATCTTCACAGACGTCGCGTTGAAGTTTGAGCACCAGCTGATTAAACTCTCAGATGTGTTCGGCTCGGTGAGGACACACGGGATAGCAGTGAGCCCCTGCGGCGCGTACCTGGCCGTCATTACAACCGAGGGCATGGTCAATGGCCTCCATCCCGTTAACAAAAACTACCAGGTTCAGTTCGTTACTCTGAAAACCTTTGAAGAGGCAGCGGCTCAGCTTCTGGAATCCTCAGTTCAGAATCTCTTTAGGCAGGTAGATTTAATAGACCTAGTACGCTGGAAGATTTTAAGAGACAAGCATATCCCTCAGTTTTTACAAGAAGCTTTGGAAAAAAAGATTGAAAGCAGTGGGGCCACCTATTACTGGCGTTTCAAACTCTTCCTCCTGAGGATTTTGTATCAGTCGATGCAGAAAACCCCTTCAGAAGCCTTGTGGAAACCCACACACGAGGACTCAAAAGCCTTACTAGTGGACTCGCCCGGGATGGGCAATGCTGACGATGAGCAGCAAGAAGAAGGCACGTCCTCCAGACAGGCGGCCAAGCAAGGCCTTCAGGAGAGGAGCAGGGAAGGTGACCCAGAGGACCCCACAGATGACTCCCTCACTCCGTCTGGAGATACTGGAGGCCGAGAGCCAATGGAAGAGAAACTCCTTGAGATCCAGGGGAAAATCGAAGCCGTGGAGATGCACTTGACCCGGGAGCACATGAAGCGAGTCTTAGGAGAAGTGTACCTGCACACCTGGATCACAGAAAACACCAGCATCCCCACCAGGGGCCTCTGTAACTTTTTAATGTCTGACGAAGAGTATGAGGACAGAACAGCTCGGGTAGGTGTTTGTTAACAAAACACTGAAACTGTGAGAAGACTGCTTTCTTCATGAGAAAGGAATGGCCTAAATTTAATTTGTAAAGCTCAACTTCTTCTTTGACTTTTTTTTAGGTAATTAATTGGCACGAGGTGCAGGAGAATAAATAGGAAACATGGATTAATGCAGAGGACATACGCGTATCACACAAAGAATATTTCATTCTTACTCTCACTAAGGCTTTGATTGATATGCAAGGTTCGGGAGGTTTCCGGGCCATGGATGAGCTCCAGGAGGCTGCGTTTAGCAGAGTAGGTTGTGATGGGGCAGTCACCACAGGGGCAGTGTGGTGTGCCCCCCGCCTCTGGAGGGCGGGAGGAACTTGGCAGGGACTGTTCTGTTTGGAAAGACTTGAGGAGGTCGTCTGATTTAGTCTAGAAGGCCATGTAAAGTAAACATGATTATTTGTGGTATTTTTGCAAAAACTAGGTGTAACCGTTATTTTGATGTTAGAACAATCTTACAGTGTTACCCAAAACGTGTTTCACAGAATTCAGGTTCGCTGATAGAACACTAGGGCTCCACACATGGAGGAAGACCATGTACTCCATACTCCTCCTAAAGGTTCCCAGTGTGCATCATCCTTTAAGGGTTCCGGGAATTCCTATAGGAAAGAAACCGTGTAACTTTGTGTAGCTCACCAGGTTATCCAGGCTTATTAATCAGGGATCCTGAGCTAACAGCATCTAAAACCCTGAAGAACTGTGTTTCAAGGAACATCCTGTATACTAAAATACTTAAAACCACGGACACCCGTGGTCCTTTTTATTCTGAAGATAGACACTTACTCTCACTACCAACAGTCTTACTTAACATATTAACTGAAAGCAATAAATCCACAGGTCTTCATGTCTAATGTTAAACTATTTACAAACCACTTGTATTTTCTTGTTGGAAAGTGTGTGTGTGTACGTATGTATATGTACATACACCCCTAAAATTATCGCCTAAGGATGTATTTGCAATAATCTCAAGAGTAGTTAAGATGTACTGTTTATATAACTGATTTTTCATCTTTGAAAGTCAACTTTTATAAATTGTTTCATTGTGATCTGAATTGTTTGGAAGAGTTTTCTGGTTATCACTGTTTCATAGGCCCCAGCAGGGATATTATAAGCCTGAAATACTAGCATTTTAGGAAATTTGTAATGGCAGTTGGTTGGTAATGATTTAGAATAATTGCCGAGGTGCGACATGAGCATGGAAAGCTATGTTTAGCATAGTTCTTGGTTCCACCAGAGCCAATTTAAAGAAGGAAAGATTGTACTCTGCCCATCTGCAGCAACTGAGTTTTGATTGAAAACAACACGTTTCATGTTTTAAAATCCCACTGTGTGCCTTAAATGAATCTTCTCGAACCTAGTACTTTGGTTGTCCCTGCTGTAAAGGACCATAAATTAGAATTCTCAAGGCCAAAAAAGGTCAAAAGTGAATGGGTTTGAAGTTTGTAAATTACATGCAGAGTAGGTAAGACACACTTCTGCACTACTGATGCCCTTCAGAACTTCAGTGAACCCATTTTAGTGACGGTAGACTTGAGTTCTTCCACAAGAGCTGAAGTGTAAATGGGTTAAAACTGAAAGACATTACCTGCTAGTGAGACGAGGAGGCTCTTGAGGATCAGTGCTTCCCACGCCTCCCAGTGATAGAGCTGGGAAAGGTTCTTTCCAGCAAAATAATGAAGCAGATTGGAGTTTTTCAGATTCCGTCATTAAAGTGGTGCAACCCTAATAAGTGAAGCAGAGGAGGAAACGAAGCTGAAGTCGGGCCAAGGCCTGGAGCGCGCCCCGCCTGCCCCCCCCAGAGGGTCCTGCGCGGAGTCGGTGGGTCTCAAGTTGCAGGCCAAAACTGGATTGGTCACGGGTCTTTGGGCCATCAGAAGGGGAAATTATTATTTTTCAATCCTGATGATCTTTTTACTTTGTAAACCCTTCTTAAAGAGTAGACATTTCCGTAGTTCTACGAAGTTAGTATTTCACATGATATTTTGCCTAAGAGGTTATGCTTTTCTCTCTGAAAGTCAGAACATCATGAAGTGTAGCTAAGTGTCCTTTGTCTTCTGACAGAACTCTGAAGTCCTTATTTCAGGAGCAACTAAAGGCAAGTAGTAAGATTTGGGTTTCCAGAACAGTTTTTCCTTTAGTGGGGATAGTTCACGAGGTACCTGCATGAATTTATTTGCTTTTACTCGGCCAGGTGACACAACGTGATGGTCTAGCTTTTTTACTTTCCAGACTCCGCGATGGGCCTAAGTGGAGGAGCAGGGCTCCGGTCTTGTGTAAGATACTGCATAGTGTCCCACTTCTCTTTTGTATCTGGAAGCCCTGTGCTCACCACAAAACATTGCTGACTGCCCTGTGTTACTAGGTGCTGATCGGACACATCTCAAAGAAGATGAACAAGCAGACGTTCCCCGAGCACTGTAGTTTGTGTAAAGAGATCTTGCCGTTCACAGATCGCAAGCAGGCAGTCTGCTCCAATGGCCACATTTGGCTCCGGTAAGCTGCTTTTGCTCCTTCGTCACTTTCATGCAGCACAGACCACCGTGAAGTGTTCATCTGAAATCGATGTTGCCCATGCCATTAGGTTGGAGAGAAGCTGCTGCTATAAAACCTGGTGTGAGCTTGTTGTTTTTTCTTGTGGTCAGTTTGACTAAAGTAGGATACCCTTTAAAGAGAGGGTTTTTTTTTTTTACTGCTTAACATATGTAGGGATTTCTTTCTTTATTTTGATAATACTGTTTTGCTCTAAAGTAGCACTAAATTTTTAAAAATCATTATTACCAAAGCAATACCTGTTAAAGTTAATAGAATGGAAGGTGCTTATGTACTTTGTTTGGCTTAACTTTGTAACAAAAGGTGGAGGTCTTTCCTCCTTCTCCCCCCTGGGTCTCACTTTAAGTGGGAACCTTGAGGCTGCCTCATTATATGGCCTGTGGGCTGCGTTTGGCACGGGCTCCTCCCCCTCAAAGCTCTCTTATCACCTGGCGTCCTGGCCCCTGTCTCCTAGATGTCCGTGTCTGGACCTGTTTCTCTTCTGGCAGCACTCTCCCCTGGCTGTCGCATATCCTCTGTACACTGGGAACTTAAACCTGCCACTTTAACCCGAATCTCTCCCCCTCAGTCCAGACTTCATATTTAAGTACCTGCTCAGTTTCTCTGTTTAGAAGTTTAATAGGCATTTCAGACTTGGATCCAGACGTTTCTCACTCCCTCCACCCCTGGCCCAGGGCACCGTCGTCTCTTGCCCAGATCATTACAGTTGTCTCCCAGCCAACCTTCCTGTGTCTTTCCTTCCCCCTCCAGCCTGTTCTAAGCAGGGCCGAGATTGTCAGCTCACGTCACCCCTCTGCTCAGAACTCCAGTGGCTGCCCATTTCTGATGAGCAGAAGCTAAAATCCTTTCAGACCACACAGCCTGGCCCCCGTCCCTTCTCTGACCACATATGCATTTCTGCATCTTGCTAACTTCACTCGGGGTGCACTGGCCTCATTGCCCCTCAGGTACACGAGGCACCCTTCCACCCCGGGCCTCTGCACTGGCAGTTCTCTCTGCCCGGACTGCTCGTCCAGCAGGTGTCCACATGGCTTTCTCAAGTGTCCCTTTATCAGTTAGGCCTTCCTGGCCATGCGACTTAAAATGGCACCACCTGACGACAGCCCCCTTCCCCCTCCCCCCGTAGTCCTCTTCCCTCTCCCTTGCTTTATTTTCCTCCTCAGCAGTTACCACCATTGATTTTTGTACGTTCTGTTTTTCTCCTCCCTCTGGAATAGAAAGCTTCACGAAGGCAGGGAGTTTTGTGGTTTTGTTCATGGCTCTTTCTGGAACATTGCCTGGCACATAGTAGGCACTCACTAAATTTTTTAAATTTATTTTTAACAGAAACAGGATTGGGCTACAAATAACTATCTTGACAACTTGCCAATTCTTTTATCAAAGTGTTGTGGCCGTTTCCCACATCAGTGCATAGATCCATTCTTAGCAGCTTTAGAGTTTTCCGTTGTACGGATGTTCCATTATTTACTCCCTTATTGATGGATATTTGGATTTTTTCCAGTCTTTATTGGTTCTTATACTTTTTCTAATTTGTTCAGACTTTTTTTTTAAAGGGGAGGACAGGAAACAAGCTTCTAACAACCAGCACTGTTTGGCACTGCCAGTGTGCCAGGCACTATTCTGAGCAACACACACATCCTGAGTTACTGTGTCCTCACAACAGCCACACGTGGGGCACTGTGATTGTTTCCATCTTTACAAATGAGGAAACTGGGGCCTGGGAAAGTCCAGTAATTTGTCCAAAGTCACACGGGGACGTGGCAGAGCTGAGAACCCGTCATTCTGGCTCCAGATTTTGTATGTGTAACTGCTACACATTGTTGCCTCTCAGACGGCTTTTTTCACATTTTTCATTGTTGCTGATTGAAGTTAGTGCCAGAATCCCCAGGTGAGGGTGGGTACTTGCTCTCACTCAGGTATTACCGTCCTTCCTGTGCACCCAGGTCTGTACTCAAGGTAAACCTACCTGGAATTTCTTCCCCCAACCGCCCTTCCTCTTCGTATTTTTCACTCCTTAGTTGCTCAGCTTAAACACTTACCTTTCAAAAAACCTTCCCGCAGAAGCCAGGTGCGCTGTCGGCCTTCTCACTGCTCCACCTTCCCTCACTTGTCTGCTCCTGGAAGCTGCTCAGTGCATGGTCACTGGGTGGAAGGGAACCCGTGCACTTTGGTTCATGGCTCTTCTTTTTTTGCACCATTAATTTTGTCTTCTATATCTGTCAGGTTTTCCCCACTGTAGATTCTTAAAGATAGTGCCTAATCTCAAAAGTCACTAACAAGAATAATTTCCGGTATAATACAAAATCAGGTTTTTTTAACATATCAAAAATTCAAAGCACAACGAGATATAGACAGACTAAATTCTTTCCCAGTGCTGCAAACATGGTGGCAGAAAAGGAGCTGCAGTGACTGGATGAGAAGTTTTGTGCCTCTTGGTTCAGAAGCCCAAGACAGACACTTTTACTAAGTGTGGGCTGGTGCGGGTCTGGCCGTCTTGGTGTGCAGAGGGAGACATCGTGGCCGTGAACTTGCGAGCTGGTTTTGCCCTCTACTTCGTTAACTTGCGGGCTTAGGACAGCCGCCTGTGGTGAGTCCCCCGGCGCTGTGCTGCTGCCCTGCTGGTGGGACTGACGATGCACTCCGTCCACTTTCAGGTGCTTTTTAACCTACCAGTCCTGCCAGAGTTTGATATACAGAAGGTGTTTGCTGCATGACAGCATCGCCCGCCACCCAGCGCCGGAAGGTGAGTGCTTTCCCACCTCGGGCAGATGAGCTTGCGTCCGCGGGCTCCGTGCTGCTTAGCCCTGTGCTGCTTAGCCCTGTGCCATCGGGGATGGTGGGCAGATCCATCCCGCTCTATACTGTATTATGAAGCCACAACTAAGTAAAAAATGACCATTGGAATATGTCGTGTTAGCGTACACACGGCATTTTGGTATGTAAGTTGGGCTGCAGTTTATTGTTTTGTCACTGCAAGCAAATTATCCATTCAAA